CCACGCCTTGCCATGGGCAGGGACACTTTCCCCTATCCCAAGTTGCTCCAAGCCCTGTCCAACCTTGAATTTCCAGGGATGGAGCAGCCATTGCCTCTCTGGGCAACCTGTGCCAGGGCCTCACTAGCCTCTGTGTAAAGAATTTCTGCCTAAAATCTAATCCAAATCTCTCCTCTCTTAATTTAAAATGCTCAGTGGCCGGCACATCAGCTGTACCCGTTCACATGCAGGATTTCAGCTGCTGAAGGGAGGGCAGCAAAGCTGAAGTTCAGCTCCAGCCTGGATCTCAGGAAGGTTAAGCCTCTATTTGCACCAGCAGGAAAACATTTGACATCCACACAAAAACAGGGAAAAGTCTCACTGATGGCTTTGTAATTGGTTTTAGAGCTGCTCCAAACACGTGCTGAGAGGCAGAGCAGCAGCACTGGGGGCTGGCTGGCAAGAGGACATCAGCGAAGGAAACAGGGCCCTCACAGACACATATCCAGGCTCCAAAATACTTCACCAACTATCAAATATTTTCCAAGCTTAGCTGCTGGACTCTGCATCCCCTTGCAGCAGCCAAGTCACTAATACCTCTTCCCTCGGGCAGCACAGCTGATCTCAGGCAGGGCTTGCCAGCAGCTCTAAGTAGGCTCATTTAAGGAGAGGACAGCCTACTTAGTTACACTCTTCAGACTCCCTTCTTTTAATTCAAGGATCTCCAGGTTCTTTTCCAGCTTAGCATTAGCATCTCTGATTCACAGGGAAGAAATACTCTCCCAAATATGCTCTAACATTTTTTTTTACCCACTGTGTCACCCAGCCCTTGGCTCCTTGTCTTCTCTCCCACTTCTGCAGTCTGGTCCCTCCAAGTTCAGTCTGAGACATCAGTCTTCTTGGTTTGAGACTCACCCCAAGGGACACAAGAATGCTGTTGGCCTTTTTGCTCCTGTCTAAAGCCACAGAAAACAGGACTGAGAGGTTTCAAACCTCCTAATTTGAGAGGTCCAATACTGCAAATGTATGGAGCACAAGCAGAGCAGATATGCAAATGCATGGAGAGGCTTAGCAGCCCAGGAAAGAAACTCCAGTGGGAAGCTCCCAGCTTAAATCTAAAGGCAGCTCTTTGAATGTGCAGAGGCCTTGCAGCTAAACAAAAAAATCAAAGCCAGATTTGGGCACAGCCTTTCTCCCTGTGCAACACTCCATTGGGAGCTTTATGGGTCCAGGCAGGAGATCCCAACTAAAATGAAGGACTTGTCCCTCCACAGATTCAGTGTGGGAGAATGAAATGCAAGGTCAAGCAAGGACTCTGAGGGCACTGGTGTAAAGGGGAATTAAGGTAGAGTAAGGCAGGATCAGTCTCCCTGCAATGAAATTCCCACCTGCATTCCTCTTGGTCCGTCCTCGTCCTGCCAAGGAGCAGCATCAGGAATCCCCTGGCAAAGGAGGCTTGAGCATAAAGGAGAGCTGGAGCAACCCCACATCCTGAGCCTTGCCTGCCTTGAGATTACGGGGCAGGAAAGCGCTCTGGAATTCCTCATATTCCCTTTTCTCAGACTTGAACTTGCCTCTCACTTGAAAGAGCTAATTAAGGCCGGGAATCAAAGCCTGGAGAGGCAGCTCTTCCAGCCCGGCTCAGAGCCGGCCCTAACGCCCATGCCCGTGCCTGCTATCAAAGCCAGCCCCGGGCTGGAGGGGCTGAGGCACATTCCTGTGGAGAAGCAAGATTCAGGATGGGAACAGTTCCAGGCATGGAGAAAAGCATACAGCAATTGGCAGGACTTTCATATGGACTTTCACTGTATTCATGCTACACAGTGCACAACTGCACATGCCCAGGCTTCCTCCTCCCCCTTTTGCCTGTGCCCCGTTCTGATTTGCTCCCCCATTTGTCTGTCTGATAGCCCTCTCGATGTTCTGCCCCCTGCCCCTGGCGGGACGGTTAAGAATCGGGCGCACGCCTGAATAAACAAGTCTGCTTGCACCCTCCCTCGTGTCCTGTCCCCTCTTCCCTTCGGACCCGCGACAGATGGCGCCCAGCGTCGGGCAGAAAAGGTTTTTACCTTAAGAAAACCTCCCCCACGCCACAAAGGGCTCAGACAGCGCTGAGAGAAGCGTCTTCATCTCGCTGGTCCTTCCCGGTAGAACCCCAGATTACGGCAAGATAGCCACCGCACCGAGAAAGGTGAGCTCCGGGAAAAACCTCTAATCCCATCTCCCACCCTCACAAAATCAACTTTAAAACCAACTACAGACCAACAGAAGCCTAAGTAATTTCGCAATGGGCCTCTCGCTATCTACCCCTCAAAAGTTTGTATACCGCAAGCTTAAAGACTTTATTTTGGAAAATGGACACCCTTTAGACAAAAAATCTGCAAAATCCCTTGCTAAATGGCTTGAAAACAGAGGGGAAGCAATCTCCGACAACATGTCTCAAAAAGACTGGGAGAAAATTGGATACAATATCTGGAGAGCAAAAGAGAGGGGAGACAAAATTGCTACTGAAGCGTTAATTGCCTGGAGATTGATTCTGATGATGCTAGAGCATCAGTTGATGAGTTCCAATGAAAATCTCCAAGAATCTGAGCAAAAATTCAAGCCCCCATCCCCAAAAATGGACAAGCCCCGAGGGTCCCGGAGCTGCGGGGGGGTGGGGGAGAGCGCGGACGGCGGGAGGGAGAAACAAAGCACGGAATATCAGCATCATGGCGTCGGCCGCGCGGGCGAAACCCAGGAGAGCGGGGAGCGCGCGCGGCGTGGAGAAACGGCATGCAAAGATTTCGCGCGTCTCCCGCCGGCACCGCCCCCCAGCCCGCCCGTGGAAGCTCGGCCGGCACCACCCCCCAGCCCGCCCGTGGAAGCTCGGCCGGCACCGCCCCCCAGCCCGCCTTCGCGTCCGCCCCCCTACGCCCCCGGCACGCCCAAGGACCCTCCCACCAGAACACCCTCTCCCTCCAGCGCTGCCTCTACCCCCACGTCATCACCCTCCCGGGGTAGACGAAAACTAAGGAGCGGGGCCAGGTCCTCTTCTGACGATATCACCCGGAAAGATGGTCACGCCCATGAAGCCTTTGTTACCGAGGCTCCCGGCAGTTGCAGGATGGCAAATACCTCTCTTCCATGCAACGATATTTGGAAAGCTTTCCGGACAGAAGCTGCACAGGCTAACGATGCCGAGTTTTTAAAAGCTTTTCCAATTTACCTAGAGGAAGGTCGTGCTCCTGAGTGGCGTCCGGTGTCTTATACCATGTTAAAGGACATCAAAAAAGCGATTGTAGAGTACGGTTTAGGCTCACCCTATACCGTTGGACTTTTTGAATCGTTTTTTCTCGCCTGCCACTTAATACCTTATGATATCAAAGCCGTAATTAATGGACTGTTATCGACTGTGCAGGCATCCGTTTTTGAAGCGGAATGGAAACGTCTTATAGTTAAATATGTCAATGAAAAGATGGAGAGGCGTGGTATTCCTGTAAAGAATGCTATTGATATGCTGTATGGAGAAGGCAACTATGCGAGCCGACAAGACCAGGCTCTTGTGGATTTAAAATACTTAGATATTACAAAAGATCTGGCAATGGAGGCCTTTAAAAAAGTTGCTGATGCATATGTCCAAACACCCTCCTTCACCCTAATTCATCAGGGCTCAACAGAACCTTTTGTGGACTTTATAACCCGGCTAAAGGAAGCTATAGCACGGCAAGTCCAGCAAAAGGAAAGCCAAGACATTCTGTTTAATAAACTTGTGATTGAAAAGGCTAACGAGGATTGCCAACAAGCCTTAAAAATGCTAAAGGATCCTACACTCCTGGAGATGATAGAAGCTTGTAAAGAATGTGGGGTCTAATTCTCATAAAGCAAGACTAATAGCTGAAGTTTTAGCTGGACCACAAACCTGTTTTCACTGTGGAGAGACAAGACATATTAAAAAGAACTGCCCACAATTAACTACAAAGACTGAGCTTCCAAAGACGCCGTGCAAACGATGTGGGAAAGGCAGACACTGGACTAAAGATTGCCGCTCCCGTACTAACATTTATGGATAACTGCTACCCCCGAAAAGGTCACCAGACTTGAGAAGAAAAGTGACTTTTAATTCAATGCCAGATCTTAAACAGTGCACCTGTGAGCTGTCAAGAAACAAGGCAGCACCCCCTCAACCGCGTTCCATCCTGCGTAGCCCATCCCTTCAGCAAGTGCCAGCAAACCACAACAATCCCTACAGTTCCCTTATCACATGATCCCAATCCTAAATTCTCCCTTCTAACATGTTCTGCTTACTTTCCAGGATCTCGTAGTCCACAGAAGACCACTATCACTAAGCTTTTAGACACCATGGAGCAGTGGCATCTCGGGCTGGAAACAATTTTAGGGGGGGAGTCACTCAGCAAATGCAGCTGTCCACTTGTTTTGAAATTTTGCTTTCTCTGTTTGTTTTGTTACTAACTATTTCTTGTGTCACAGCATGCTGCAAGAAGGACTATCGCAACAGGCATCTTTCAAACTAATAAGAAAGGGTGAGATGTGGAGAAGCAAGATTCAGGATGGGAACAGTTCCAGGCATGGAGAAAAGCATACAGCAATTGGCAGGACTTTCATATGGACTTTCACTGTATTCGTGCTACACAGTGCACAACTGCACATGCCCAGGCTTCCTCCTCCCCCTTTTGCCTGTGCCCTGTTCTGATTTGCTCCCCCATTTGTCTGTCTGATAGCCCTCTCGATGTTCTGCCCCCTGCCCCTGGCGGGACGGTTAAGAATCGGGCGCACGCCTGAATAAACAAGTCTGCTTGCACCCTCCCTCGTGTCCTGTCCCCTCTTCCCTTCGGACCCGCGACACATTCCTGCCACGACACTCGAGTGAACCGACAGAATAAACCAAGACAATTTCCTCAGACCGTTCTTAGGTCAGCTCGACCAGCCTCTTCCCCAATCCTGCCCTTAAATCTTGCAGTATTTAATCCTTGATCTGCAGCCAGGCCTTAGTTTTTCAGAGCAAAGGCGACACGGAGCTGGCTGGAGACCGGAAGGAGAGGGGCTTTGATGGTTAATGACCAGTGCTCCTCAGCCCTAGGAGAAATGAAGCCCTGGCTTCACAAAGCTCCCTGAATAATTCCTGCTCCAACTCCAGCCCGGGGAAATAAAACTACACCAGTGCACACAGAAACCGGCAGAAGCCGTTGACACTCTCTAGGTCCTGTTTTGGTTTAGGTTTGAGCCAAAACTGTGCTCTGGGTCAAAATTATTTCACCCCTATGATTTGCACAGTGAAGTAATTACAACAGGCAAATTCCTCCTGGAGATTTCAAGGCCCCTTGGTTTAGCTCATCAGCAAACACAGTACATTTGTTGATACCTTCATTAGCTTGTCCACGGGCAAACTGAGGCATGAACCGGTTAAATTAGGTGGTGTGGTGAGCTGGAGGCAGAGCCAGGACTGGGACAAGGCAGTCCCAGTTCCTTGGTCCCTGTTTTAATGGTTGAGAAACATGGTTATCTGAAGACAAGACCTGAGAGCACACAAGGAGGTAAAGTTTGGGTGCTCAGGGGCTTCACTTACCGCACTGCTACAGGGAATGTCCTTGACTTTGAGCCAGGCCAGATCTAACGTCCCCTCTCCCCTGTAGCAGGACTGCAGTCTGTCCTTGATGCGGTCGTTGATCTTTTTCAGGACAAAGATGCAAAGAGCAGACTCATCCAAGGACTTCATCTTCCTTTTCTGCCCCTTGGAGAAGACTGTGAAGAGGATATCATCCTCAGGGCCAACCTCCAAAGACCTGGCTAAGATGGCTCCAGCCTTAGACAAGTAGGCTGCCTGGAGCAATCTGTATTCCACCCCGTTCTTCTCACAGCCAATGGGCACCTCCACATAGGAGTTAAAGGCTGTGTCCTCCTTACAAAGCCGGACCAGCTTGGAGGTATAAACCTGCTCCTTCGTGGTGGAGCCAGGTGGAGAGATCATCTCAGGCTGCAGAGTCAGGAAGTAGACAAAGTTCCCACTGCTGAAGCCATAAATGTAGTAGATATCGAAGTCAGGGATGATGGTAAAGGTGTCTGAGGGGATCTTGATCATAGAGGCCACAAACTCATCATGAAAGACATATGCAAACATCCCATCCGCCTCGGAGTTCTTGGTGAGCTTCCTGCTGGAAATAGTGGGGAAATACTCCGGTTTCCCGTCCACGGCGGTGGCGATGAACAGCTTGTCATCCATGTTGCTGTAAGAAACAATGACTCCAAAAACAGAGCCACTCTCATTCACCCCAGAGAGATAATGCTCCTTCTTGTGGAAGGGCTCCCCGAGCTTGAAGAGGTCATCCAGCCTCAGCAGCTTGCAGATGCCCTGGTACAGACTCCCACAGGCTATCAACCGATTCTCCTTGTAGTCTATGAGGAGCATTTTGTTTATGTTGTTGGTGGGTGTCAAGGGTTCGTTGCAGGTTTGGACTATCCTGGGCGGATAACACTTGGGATTGTCGTCATCAGGACCAGTCTCGTGGGTCACCAGGACCTTCAGGTCACTGGAGAGTTTGTAGATCCTGTTGACGGCCCCCAAGTAAATGTGCCCAGTTCTTTCGTCCACCACCAAGTGGTTGAAGTTTCCCTCTGCTTGTTCTCCAGTGAAAGTGATGAAGGGCCTCTTTGGATGGGGTGGCTGCTGTCTGGCAAGAGGTGACACTGTGGTGGACAGCAGGAGGTGAGAAACCAGGCAAGTCCATTTCCACATGGCCGGTGACATGATTAGAGAGGTTTGTATTCCCAAGGGAACAGGATTAAAAGCAGTAAAATTCTTCAAAACACCAATTCGCTGGCAGATTTTGTCCTACGAGCAAAGCAAAAAGAAAACAAAAGTACATTACTATGGAGTATTCCTTCCTCCTCCCCCCTTCACAACCATGCCATCATCAGAGCTTATTTAATTGCTAATCCTCCCTTTCTGAGCTCTCTACTTAAAACCAACACAAAGGGAGCCCTCCTGAAAGAAAAGATGCTGGTAGAAAGAGCAGAAATCACGCAGCAGAGTCATAAATCAGCACCCTTTTCCTCTCCATCACTCACACACGTGCCCCATGGTGCAGCACAAATATTCCCTGGAAGCCAGAGAGGTGCAGAAGGCTCATGGTGGGAACATCAACCAGCGTTGCTGTTTGCACTGCCAATGTCAACCCAACTGTGTATTTGCTGTCTGAGACACCAGAGCTGGAGAAGGATTATTATCCTGCTCTTCTGGATGAAGGACTGAAGCCTAGAGAAGGTCAGGGACCTGCCTGCAGGGACAGGTCCAGATGGATGCTGAGCTCTTCTGCAGCCCTTGGAGTTTGCCAGGAAGAAGCCAGCCCTGGTCTGACATTAACATCCTTCCAGGGAAACCTTGGTCCGGAATGGTCCTGTTTGAACAGGATCTCTGGGGCTTCCAGATCAAAGCTGCCTCGTGCTGGTCCAGCCTGGAGTACAGACACAGGAGCTGTGCTGTGCCAGCTGTCACAGCCACATCTACGAAGGGCAGGTGGCCAAGCACAGAGCAAACTGAGCTCTGGGTCTCCTCCCTCCCCTGGGTTCTCACCACGAGACCACTCTCCACTCACTTCACAGCCAAGAAAACATCATCCCAAAGAGAGATACAGCTCCCCTGGGAATCTCAGGTGACTGAGGAGAAAGGGGTTGCCTACCTATTAGCAGTAATAAAGTCTAAAGGGCCATGACGTGGGAAAACTAATGACCCAAGGACCAGCCTGGTGATTTTCCAAAGAGCAGCATGATTGATTCCTTGCACCACTCAGTCTCTTAAAATTTCCCAGGTTTTAACCAGGATGTGAGAGCAGTATGGGGTTCAAACAGCCTCTGTAATTTATTGAGCACATCACCATACCCCATGGAAACACATCTTCCTGCTCAACACATCCATCTGCTCCCTTTCCCTTCACTTTTTTAGTTGCTTCTGCACCAAGACCAGCTTTGGCTTTTAATGGCCCCACAGAACACGTAGGAGATGGAGTCCTACCACCTCAGATGTCACAAGCCAAGCTCCTCAGCGAGTGCTGACCACTGGTGGCCAGGCTGAGGACACAAATTTCTCCTCCCTCCATCCCACTTTAACATCCACAGAACTTCACAAAGCTGTCCTTGATCTCAAAAAGAGCACAAGGCAAACCCCAGCCCCGCTCCTGCAGGCCAGCGTCCCATCACCTCTGTCACAGAATAACTTTGCTGCAACCAGGAGTGATGACAGCCAGGCTGGCACAAGCAGGAGGTAAGGAAAAAATCACTGTTTGCAGATCCCAGCAGGGAGGAAGATGTGACACAAGTCTGGATTTGCAGCTTTTTCAAATCTATGCAGCTCTGCTAACGGCAGCGGGACTGAAAAATTTCCTTCAAGAAATAACAGAGAGAATAAATCCCCCATTCTTTTGACCTGTAGGCTGATTAGATCTGATAGTGGAAAGGGTAAGTCTGGGCTTGTAGAGCAGCCACCACTTTTATGCCACCCCGAATATTTCAAAATTCTCACAGCAGCCAGAATTTCAAAGCTGTCGTATGATCACCTTCACCTCCCACTGCCCTCCCAGCCACAGCAGCCGCAGGCATTGGATGGATGATGGACAAAGGTCATCCCACATTTACTTTAGGCATGTTTACCCTGTTCTGCTCTGCCTTTCTGGTCAAGCAAATATTTAATAAAATCAAGCTTATACTGCAGAGTTTGCAAGACTGCCTTGCAGGCTCTGCAGGGACAGGCAGGCTGGTCACGTAGGCTTTTAATAACCTTTAATATGATAGATGGAGCAGGGGTGGAACGAGCTCCCCCCCACACAACCACTCCTCTTTCAAAAGAGCCCCTCCTTGGGAGAGCAGCAGAAGAGGGAAGCTGTCCCTGTTTGAGTCCTGTGTTCAGAAACATCACATGGCGACCCTGAACACCAGCCCCTGTCACTTATGAGTTATGATCCATGTTTCTAACACACTGGCATGATCGGGAACTAGACAGATATAGGAAGAAATTATTCTTTTCAAGTACTAAAAAGATAATTTTTTTTACCCCAACATTTTGCTGTATTTTGCTATATTTTGCTCTTCTTTTCAAGTACTAAAACCATAATTTTTTCACCCCAACATTTTGCTATATTTTGCCATATTTTGCTCTGCAGAGTCAGCACAGCTGCAGGGCAGGGCAATGGAAACTGTCACAACCCAGAGACTGAAGAGGTAAGGAACAGCCCCTCTCTCCAAGAGGAGCCCTCTGCCCAAAGGTCATCACAGCACCAGGACAACAGCACCTGCAACAACAGGAGGAAATCTGCCCATTAAAACAAAGAGCCAACACACAATCAGAAGAGACACACTCCAGACATGAAGTCTTCAAGGCCCAAGTAGGTGAGAATCGTTTTGAGACTATCACTCCTAGAGAAAGGGAATGGCAAGGAAAACCTTCTTGGTCCCTCCCAACCCAAACCATTCTGTGATTCCTCTAGGGAAAGAGAGTAAATTCGACCTGGAAACCAGAGACACCCCAGTGAGAAACTCCAGGAAGGCTGGATGAGGAGTCCCTTTAGTAGCAGACAAGGGCACTTCAAAAATACTGAAACTCATGGAGGAAGATGCTCACCTGGAGAGAAAAGGGTATCGAGAGTGTGAGAGCACCAATAGCCACCAAGTACACACAGGAGCCTTTTGGGACAAAGCAGGGAGAGTAGAACCCTTGGGTTGTCTTTCCATTTTCCATCAGCCATCTGAGTGGCCCCAGGAGCAGGATTTTCCCTCTGTACATTCCTCTCCCATCTGCTCGTGCTGTTTGCCCTGCACCCTCTGTCCTGGAGCGCCAGTCAGCCCTTGAGCCTCTGAGGGCTATAATTTATAATTCGGCTCAATTAATAAATAACAGCAGAGGTCAGGGGCAAGGAGGCCTGGATGTTTAACTTGCAGAATAGAGCAGGTTTTGTACTACCCCTGAGAGGATGCACTAAGGAGAATTACCCATGTCTGGATAGCAGAAAACACAGCAGCTGGGAAGACAAGTAGTCCAGTGGCACAGACATACCCAGCCTCTTAGGCTGCTCAAATTACAAGAGAGTAATTCTATTCTAAAAACAAAGCATATAAACCAAAGGCCTCAGCCAGCAGGCAGTGGGGTCTGGGCTTAGGTTCTGAGCTGGGTATTTCCAAAACAAACCCAGACTGCCTTCCCACAATGACCAGGCTCACTGGCCTTTTCCACCAGCAATGCCATGACCCACCATGTAGGGTTCCTGTGTGAGATCAGATCACCCCTCTGCTGTCTGCTACAACAGCCTCTTCACCAGCACATTCAAGGTCCCTGGGAAGGTCACAGAGCACACCTTCTGTGGAACTGGAGGCTCAACTTCATGGCTTGGAAATGACACATTCCCCATAGGATGCCTTGAATTCCCAGAGTTTGGATTAAGAACTGTTTTCCTCCTGAAGGACAGAAAGTTATGACGTTTCCCCACAGTGTGGTTACATTTTTAGTGCTATTGGCCATTTCTAGCAAAGGGTAGAGACCACTGAGTTAGAGGATTCCGCTCAGGGCTCTCCAGGACAAAATCCCAAGACTCCAAAACATGCAACTCCGTGGTAAATAGGTGGGGCACCTGGACAAGAAAAGTTTGGATGTGAAAAAGCCCAAGAGGATTAAACTTTCCTAACTTCTTTTAATTCTGGTTATTAGATGGGAAAGTTAGGGAATGATAAATATATCCTCAAAATGCAGCAGGTTTCAAGGGGACAAAGTCAAGAAGGAAGAGCTATGGATAAGGAGGTAAGAATAAATCAGGAATAAAGAGGACACAAGGACTGATCTGTCAGCTGAGAGAAAGGGAAGGTCTTGGGAGAAGTGTACAGGGAAACATTCAGTTTTTGACTGACAATCTCACAAAAGCCATGGTCATGTCCCTGTACTAGAGGCTGGAACAAATCCACCCCACTCCAATGACAGGTCCTGAAAGGAACGTGTCACTGAGTGAACATGGGAGACAACAGCATCTCTCCATTTCACTCACACACACACATAACCCTCCTGCCACCAAAGCTGGCAGACAGAGGCACGTCACCAGGTGCCCTGCCACGGTCACATGTTGGCAGCAGGGACACTGCAATGTCAGTGGCACAAGGAGTCACACTGGAGAGCCTGGACACAAAAAGTCATGGAAGAAATCCCACCCTGGGTTCACCTCCAGCCAGGGGCTCTAGAGCAGAAACACATATCAAAACCTAGAACAAAGAAAAATGTGCCGAAAAACAGCACTGGGAGGGGAAGGAAAACCCACCATGTCGTTCTGTACAGTGGGTCTGGCACAACCCCGGAGTCCCACGGCTGGTGGGATGGACTCAGGGAGTTCTCCACCAGGCAGCACCTGGCTGGAGGAAGCCAAGAGCAGCCAGGACTCAGGGACAATTCCAGTGGCACAGGCTGGGTGGTTAATGAGGCCCAGCACTAATCAGGCAGCACGCTCCTCTGTTTACTTTTGCTGCACTCAGGCACAGCCATTCATTTCCCGGGATGCTGACGAGGCAGACGCCCAGAGCTGGAGCCAGCACAGAGCAATTCAGCACCAAGTGCAGCTACACAATCCTTTTAATCTCATCTAAAGACTTTTTTTCATGGCTTCCTTTAATAAACCCTGATTACCATGGATAGAAGCTTTTCTTTGGGAGCCAACACGGCGAGAAAACTCATACAGAGACATTGTCAACAGCTTCCCCAACAAAGCCCAGCTTCTAACTTGAGCTAAATCCTTTCTAACTTGGCCTAAATCCTTTCTCCCTGAACTCACAACCTGCCCAAGCTGAAGGCAAGTCTCCCTTTGA